ACCAGGCTGAGTTCACGTCATCCACTGGCAAATCTGAATGCCAGGCACAGTCGCGACAAAAGCAATACACAACATGGAATGCCAAGGTGAGGTTGCCTGGGCCAGATGTGACCACAGCACCCAACCAGTACATGTGAGAGCCAGGAAGGGAGGAGGCAGAACCGGCAGGAGAATAAGGCGTGGTTCCCTTGCTGAACAGCTACTCCCACTGGAGAGCGTGAGCTGGGATGGGGTAGACCAGACTAGGCAGGGCTACAACACCTGTGCGCCTCATGTGGACCAAATCATGGAAAAACCAGGCTGGACTGATTGTTCCTACTGGTGCAATCTACAATTAGAGTGGGTGAGGGTTGTTGGGGTTTAGCCACAGCATCAGCTGGCAGAAGCTGGCACTGTGGGCTAGTTCTGTCAAGTTAAACCACAGAACCACCTGGAGAGTGCATAATCTGGGAGTGGGAGTGGCCTGGGAGGGAAATAGTGGGCTCCTCCCACTTGGGTTACCACCCCCCACGGAAGGGCACAAAACTAGGACAGGGGCTGGGGTGGCCAACAACATCCATGAAGGCGGGATAGTTGAGTTGGTTAGACGGAACAAGGTTTTAATACCCATTGACATGTATGAGAGCAGAAGGGGATGTGGGTCAGACTAGTCTAGTCTTCCACACTTACTGGCAAACCAGGGTAGGAGATGGGCCTGGTGGGGGTTATTGTGGGTCGCTCAGGCTGGGCTGCAGCTCCCACTGGTTTATGTGAGGGCCGAGTATGTGCTAGGCAGAACCAGGCTGGACTGCAAACAGGGCCTGGCACAGTCCATTGCCCCAATCAGCTGGTGGTTGCAATTGCTGGGTTGGTTCTGTTTTCAGCCCCGCCTTCCACTGGAACCAATGAGTGTTTGCAGTCCAGCATGGTTCTGGGAACACCTCAGACAAAGTTTCTTTGGGGATCCCCCGATCCAGCTTTCGGACTCAGAACGCTAACCAAGAAAAGACAGAGGACAGAACAAGTCAATCAACCTCCTCAGCTATATGTTGGCAATGAAAATACTGGGCAAACGGAGACTATATGATGGACTATGTCGTTCAGTAGAATCTCCAAAGACCGCATCGTGCTTGGAGTGGTGAGAGTGGCAGCAATTCAGAACTGTTGAACTATCAGAACCACTTGAGCAAGACCCTCGGAGCATGCCCCACATCTGGGAACTGGGGTGAGTGGGAGACTGGGTGGGGCTTCTCCCTTAAAATCTCCTTTTACATCAGATATATTAAGGAAACAATATGGAACTTAAAAAAAAAAAGCAAGTCTGCATAATTGCTTAAACTTTAGAAGTCTTCTAAATGTGGATCACAGAGATGGCTTAAAGAAAAATCCATGTGGAAGTGGGCCCGGCGGCATGGCCTAGTAGCTAAAGTCCTTGCCTTGAATGCGCCGGGATCCCATATGGATGCCAGTTCTAATCCCAGCAGCTCCACTTCCCAGCCAGCTCCCTGCTTGTGGCCTGGGAAAGCAGTCGAGGACGGCCCAAAGCCTTGGGATCCTGCACCCGTGTGGGAGACCTGGAAGAAGTTCCTGGCTCCTGGCTTTGGATCGGCATAGCAACGGCCGTTGCGCTCACTTGGGGAGTGAATCATAGGATGGAAGATCTTCCTCTCTTTCTCTCCTCCTCTCTGTATATCTGACTTCCAATAAATAAATAAATCTTTAAAAAAAATCCATGTTACAGGGTATTTATAGTAGTTAAAAATGATACTGGAGTGTTTTTGATAAAATGGAAATAATATTAAATAAAGCATGAGCACCTGTAAAAAAAAAATAATAATACTGACTGTGGCTTCATATGGGTCAAAATAGGTCCGTGTGGCACCCAGATCTAACGTCCATCAGGTTCCAGCAAGAACAGCGCCACCAACAACCTAATTATATAGGATACCTGGTGTCTCTAATCCTGCGACCTGCTCCAAGCAGAAGTGGGAGAAAGGTTGCTGAGATAACATTGCAACCTCAGCACAAAATCACAGGAGGTGGAGATTGGTGAGCCAGGAGTTGGTGCTACAGAGTTCTTTATGGAAATCTAACATAAGAACCCAGACCTGGAACTCGCTGTGCACCAACTGTAATAAGTAAAATCAAACTGTAGAACTGTGGGTGACACAGCTTAGAAACCTGCCCCAAGAAGACGACTCTGCTAACCAGAATTGCAATGACCAAGACAAAAGAAGAGACAAAGGCACAATGAATATTACCAAAAACTCCCCTGCAAAGGAGCAAAACCCTATGCCAACCTCAGAGTTCACTGAGGAAGACATCGAGAAAATGGGGCACAAAGAATTCATAAAACTCATTTTAAAGCTTCTGATAAACAATGAGAAGCACATACAAGAGTTCAAAGAATTTAAGAAATATTTTCCATAAGCAATAGTAGCAATAAAGCAAAGCAAGGTTGATACATCAGAAATTAAAAACACAGTAGAGAAAATTACAAGTACAGTGAATACTCTCCAAAATAGAATGAAGCAAGTAGAAAAAAGAATCTCAGGATTGGAGGATATTTCCTGTCATCAGGGGGAAGCAAACAAAAAGCTGGAAGCAGAGCTGCATTAGGCCAAAAAAAGTATTCAAGAACTGAAAGATACTATTAAGAGGCCAAATATAAGAGTGATGGGAGTCCCAGAAGGTGCAGAAAGAGAAACTAGTTTTACAAATATATTTAATGAAATAATAAAGGAAAATTTCCCTAATCTAGAGAAAGAATTGGGAATCCAGGAGGGGCACAGAACTCCCAACAGGCTTGATCAAAAGCGATCTTCACCAAGACACATGATCATCAAGCTCTCTTCAATTGTGCCTAAGGAAAAGATCCTTAAATGTACATGTGAAAAAAATCAATTGACATACAAAGGAATGCCAATTAAACTCACAGGAGATCTCTCAAGGAAACTCTACAGGCCAGAAGAGAATGGAGTGACATATTCCAGATACTAAAATGAAACGTAGATTTTTACAGAGAAAGGCAAGCAGAAAAAGAAGTCTCCCATCACTGGTACATTCCCAAAATGGCTGCAATGGCCAGAGCTAAGGTGATCCGAAGCTGGGAGACAGCAGTTTCTTTCAAGTCTCCCACACGGGTGCAGTGTCCCAAGGACTCAGGCCTTCCCAGGCAGGGAGCTGGATGGGAAGTGAAGCAGCTGGGACATGAACTGCTGCCCATATGGATGCTGTTGCAGGCAGGTGAAGTATTGACCTGTTATGCCACCACACGGGTTCCTAGACTTATTTATATAAGAAAATCAGCTTGTGTCTCCACCTCTATTCCTTAAGAACAGAACCCATGTGTTTTATTTTTCTATGTTTCATAAGCTACAGTATTAGATACTCATCAATACTTATTATACATCTTAAAATAATTTTTGAATCTACATTTTAAGTCTTCAGAGATATTTACAGCAAAATAAACAAAAACTTTGACGCTTCATCAATAGTAAGATATCAAACATAGAGATGATAAGTTTTCTAGCAGGATAGCATCCCAATTTAGCATAAACTTTTAGCTCAAAACAATGTTTAAGATCATGACTAAATTCAAAAGCAACTGTAGGCATCATCAAAACTCCTGGGACAGAAAACAGATTTCACCAACACAGTCACTACAAAATTTTAGACAATGAAAGAGGTTTCTTCCAACAACATCCAAGAAATTTAGTTCCTGATGTACTCAATAGAAAATTCAAAACAGCCTTTTCTGACAAACTTTTGAGCAGTTCCTTTACTTCCTTTTAAGTTTCTGTTTCAATTAAAACACAACCAACTGCTTATTCTGTAAGTTATCTACTATGGAACAATCTTTCATCTGCAACTCCCCTGCTGGATTCTTAAAAAATAATTTACAGACTTGAAAAGCTGTTTCAAGCAAAAGCTAACATTGTGTAAGTGATATTTCATTGTCCCAGAATTGTAACAGCCTCAACTCTTACTTTAACAAACAAAATACTTATCTGGTACCCAATTACGTTCAAATACTACTTCTGAGGAAAATAAGTATGTCAAGATTCAGTGTCTGTCATCAAAAAATATAAATTCAGGGCCCAGCGTTGTGGCCTAGTGGCTAAAGTCCTCAACTTGAACACCCCGGGATCCCATATGGACGCCAGTTCTAGTCCCATCAGCTCTAGTTCCCAACCAACTCCCTGCCTATGGCCTGGGAAAGCACTTGAGGATGGCCCAATGCTTTGGGATCCTGCACCCATGTGGGAGACCTGGAAGGGGTTCCTGGCTCCTGGCTTCTGATTGGCACAGCACCGGTCATTGTGCTCACTTGGGGAATGAATTATCAGACAGGAGATATTCCTCTCTATTTCTCCTCCTCTCTGTATATCTGACTTTGCAATAAAAATAAATAAATCTTAAAATCTACATATATATAAATAAATTTAATGGGAATGGTTAAGCAGAGTCTATGATTTTTGTTTTTAATCTATATACTGACTCTTCTAAAATATCATTTACATTTACTGTATTTCCTACAGCAAAATGTATATATAAAAATATTTATATAGCATAAATGCATCAGTCAGCACCCCATGTTGATCGTCTCCATGTTCTCCTTTTACTCTGAAGGTTTCTACAGCGAATGGAAACATTTCAACTCCTTCTAAAGGCCTGGGAAAAGCAGTGGGAAAATGGCCCAAGCACATGGGCCTCTGCTACCCGTGCAGCAGATCCAGAAGAAGCTCCTGGCATCTGGCTTCTGTCCTGCCCACTTAGCCACTTGGGGATAGCAGATGTCTCTCCCTCCATCTCCACCTCTATGTAACTCTGATATAAATAACCAAATACTCAAAAAAGAAAATGAAAAAAATTTTTTAACTATATGAAAGTACAATAACAGCAAACTATGGGGAAAATGGCATAAGTTAAGAAGAACTTCTGGGTGCTGATGAAATCAAAAGGGATTTTTTGTGCTCATTTTAGTGCACTTTATAGTAAAGTCAAAACCATATACTTACTACAGGTACAAGGTGTTCGCCTCACTTTCCGAAAGGTAAAGGATGTTCGTACTCCCCTCTTGTTTAAAGTCAAGTCTCCAACATCACCGGTTATAATTCCACTTTTGTGATGTTCAGATGCCTGGACGGTATCAAATTTTCTGGGTGTGATTCTGGAAATAACAGGCAAAATCATATACCATGTATTATATTAATAAAAAAAACTTTAGCCTTTTAAAAATAAACAAGAGAACAGAGCAAATCTAGGACGTACTGAAAATACCTGTTGAATTCCATGACTGGTTAGAAATTGTGGAAAGAGCAAAAGAGTAAAAACCGTAAAGGAAGTTATCCTCAGAATAATAATATTAAAAGACTGTATAACTATAATTATTCCAAAGGAGAATAAAGTAATATCACATACTTAAGTAATACCCATTTTAGAAGGAAAACAATAAATGAGGCAAAGGAAAAACATACAGATGTTAAATCTAAACTCAATATGAATAATTATGTTAAACATAAAAGGATTAAAAACCCCAACTACAGAACAACACTTGAGAGGGGTGGTTTGGTGTAGTGGTTTAGCTACCTCTTAGGACACCCACATGCCATACTGGAGTCCATGGGTTGGAGTCCTGCGTCCTCCTCTAATTCCAGCTGCTCCTGGTGTATAGCCTGGGAGCAGCAGGCGTGGGCACAGCTGGCTCCCAGTTTAGGCTGGCCTAATCCTGACTGCTGCAGCACTCGTGCAGGGAACCAGCAGGTGGGAGTTCTTCCTCCACTTCTCCCTTTCTCAAATGTAGAAAATAATAACTTAAAGAAATTTAGAAATTAAAAAAAAATACATCACAGGAAAAAAATGTTTGCATATATCAAGTAAAATCAAAAGAAAAATGGTACAGCTATATATTAATCAGAGACAAAGTCAACATTAGGTAGTAAGGATTACTAAAGGTAAAAAGGAGTATTTCGTGAAAATAATGGTCAAATAGAAAAATATAAGGACTCTATTTACATACTCCAAACGAATAATATTCTCAAAATTCATAAAGCAAAACATTAGGAAAACATCTAACAGGAAAAATAGAAAACATATAATTATCAATGGAATTTTTGAACACAAGTATATTTTTTGTCAGTGACTAAATTTTAGTTAAGGGCTAAAGATATCAACACAAAGAAGCAATAAACAAAGTAACAAAAAATTAACTGTTAAATTGTATAATACAGATATAGTAAGTAAAACAAATATTAAAAATAAAAAGTCTAAGTTGTTTTGAATTGTATCGTTAGAAGATTCGAAGAGAATCCTTGGAGTGTGATCAAATTTCCTAATTGTGAAAGAGGAATGATTTGGTAGGAAAATAATACTTCTAAAGTTTAATTTACACACGAAATGTATAGATGGTTAGCATACAGTTCAGTAAGTTTTGACAAATGTATACACCCTTGTAATCACATCAAAAATAGCCCAGTCCCCCCCAAAAAAATAGTTTTGTCACACAAAGCTTCTTGTGCCCCTTTCAGCTAATCCTTCCCTATTTCAAAGCAATTACTACTCTGATTTCTATGAGTATAGTTTTGCTTACTCTTGAACTTCATACAGTACTCTTCTGTATCTAGCTTTGTCCATTCAACATAGTTGATGTAGCAACCAGTAGGTAAGACATGTATTGCTGAGTAATATCCCATTATTACAAACACAATACAACTTACTTATATGAAAATATGTTCATGTATACAGTTTGGTACTATTTCATGTATAGCTTCTATGAATATTTTAAAATATCTGTTTAAAAAAAAAAAAATCAGAGCTACAGAGAGAGAGGGAAAGGGTGGGGGAAGAGAGATCTTCCAATCTGGTTCTCTTCCAGGACTGGGTCAGACCAATCCCAGGAGACAAGAGCTTCTTCAGGGTCTCCCACAAATGTTTCAAGAAGGTGCAGGGACATGAGCACTTGAGCTATCTTCCACTGCTTTTTCTTTCTTTTTTTTTTTTGTAAAGATTTATTTATTTTATTACAAAGTCAGATATACAGAGAGGAGAGACAAAAAGGAAGATCTTCCGTCCGATGATTCACTCCCCGAGTGAGAGCAACAGCCTATGCTGTGACGGTCCGAAGCCAGGAGCCAGGAACTTCTTCCAGGTCTCCCACACGGGTGCAGGGTCCCAAGGCTTTGGGCTGTCCTCGACTGCTTTCCCAGTTCACAAGCAGGGAGCTGGATGGGAAGTGGAGCCGGCGAGGACTTTAGCCACTAGGCCACGCCACTGGGGCCCACCTCCACTGCTTTTTCAAACACATTAGTAGAATGATGGATAGGAAGAGGAGCAGCTGGAATTCACACTGGAGCCCACATAGGATGCTGAGGCCACTATGCTACAAGGTAAGCCCCTGTAAACATTCTTATGCACATCATTTTCAGATAAGCATTTCATTACTCTAGGGTAAATACCAAGAGGTATAGTTGATGGGTCGCTGAGTAACAAACTCAGCCGGTTTTTGAAAGCAGTTACATCATTCTGCATCCAATCAACAACATAGGAGTTTTGGATCCAGAGGTGTAGGGAAAGTTCAGCAAGGATTTTCACACTCTGGCTCCTACTCCATGCATAACGGAGAAAGGGAAGCCTCCAAAAACGCTATGAGTCAGCCAAACATGCAGCTTGGTGTGAAGCCAAAATGAAATTTTGTAACATTAAGCATAGAGCAATACAATCAAGAAAGACACTGCATTTTGAGAAACATTTTCAACTGCTCTAAAGCATCTGAAACAGGCTGCCTGAGTCTTAGCAGCACCGGCTACTATCCGGGTTTTGTTTTGTTTGTTTGAGTTGTCTTCAAATTTCAATCTTCTTAGCAATGGGTAAATTGAATGAAATTGGGGTTGATCTGCATTTCTCTTGTTACTAATGATGCTGCATTTGTGTTCATTCCCTATTAGCCACTTGAGGATCCTTCTCCCGGAGAAGGATCTGTTCAAATGTTTTGTTAAACTCCCAGACAGATAAGTACATGCATGCAAATGCTTTCTCCTGTGTGTAGCTGCCTTTTCATTTTCATTTTTAACATTCAATATTTATTTACTTACTTGAAAGGCGATACTAAAATGAATTTGATCCTAATGGACTCAATGGATTATAGTCTTAAAGTGCAATCTTCATTTCGCCATTACTGTTATTTCACTCCATCTGTTATGTTATTATTTAAACCAACCTATGAATATTTAATTATTGATGTTGGAAAGAAGGCATTCTACAAGTCTTCATCCTATCTGAAACAGCATTTTAATTTCATTTTCCAAAAAACATTATTTCAATATTGTGCTTGTAAGCTACTAAATTAACTTGTTAGTGGCTCAAGTACTTTTGTTGATCTCCTAGGGTTTATAAATCCACAAGAGTGTCTTCTTTCTTTTTCTAAGATTTATTTTACTTTCATTAGAAATGCAAATTTACAGAGAGAAGGAGAGACAGAGAGAAAGATATTCTATCTGCTGGTTCATTCCCCGAATGGCTGCCACAGCTGGAGCTAAGCTGATCCAAAGCCAGGAGCCAGGAGTTTCCTCCAGTTCTTCCACACAGTTGCAGGTTCCAAAGGCTTTGAGTCATTCTTTACTGCTTTCCTAGGCTACAAGCAGGGAGCTGGATGGGAAGTGAACACAAATCAGCCCCCAAATGGGATCCTGGAACTGCACGGTAAGGATTTAGCCATTGAGCCATCATAACAAGCCCACAAATAGTATTTTTTACAAATAGTTTTACTACTTCCTTTCCAATCTTTATGATGTTATTTCTTTTCCTTTACTTACTATACTAGGTAAGATATCCAATATAACATTTAGTAGAAATGGTAAGAGCAGACATTCTTGGTTTGTTCAATATCTTACAAAAGAGTAATCAATATTTCACCATTAAGTGTGATGCCAGCTCTGGGCTTTTCACAGATATCCTTTAACAAACTGAAGAAGTTTACTTATTGATTTTGAAATGCTAAATCAATCTTGAAATCTCAGGATAAATTCCACTTAGTTATAATGCATTTTCTTTTAATATATTGCAGGATTATCCTTTCCAAGATTTTGTTAAGGATTTTTCATCTCTGTTACATGAGTCTATAATATTTTTGTTTCTAAAAGATTTATTTATTTTTATTGAAAAGTCAGCTATACAGATATATCATCTTCCATCCGATGATTCACTCCCCAAGTGACTACAATGGCTGATCTGATGCCAGGAGCCAGGAAATTCTTCCAAGTCTCCCATGCCGGTGCAGGGTCCCAAGGCTTTGGGCCATCCTTGAGTGCTTTCCCAGGGCACAGGCAGGGAGCTGGATGGGAAGCAAAGGAGCCAGGATTAGAACCAGCAGCCATATGGGATCATGGCGCGTGCAAGGCAAAGACTTTAGCCACGAGACTACCCTGCTGGGCCCCATGATAATTATTATTAACATTTACAGCATATTATGCCTTCAACAAGAGATCAAAAACTGTAATCAAAATGTAATCAGGGCCTGGTGAGGTGGCCTAGCAACTAAAGTACTTGCCTTGAACCTGCTGGGATCTCATATGAGCACTGGTTCTAATCCCGGCAGCCCAACTTCCCATCCAGCTCTCTACTTGTGGGCTGGGAAAGCAGTGGAGCAGCCCAAAGCCTTGGGACCCTGCACCTACATGGGAGATCCAGAAGAGCTCCTGGCTCCTGGCTTCAGATCAGAGCAGCACCGGCCGTTGTAGTCACTTGGGGAATCAATCATTGGATGGAAGATCTTCCTCTCTGTCTCTCCTCCATTCTGTATATATGACTTTGCAATAAAAATAAATAAATTTTTAAAAAATGTAATCAAAATCATGTTTTAGGAAAATTTGTACAATTACCAAGACTAGATTAAAATACTTTCATAATAATATATGTAAAGTAGTTACTCACTTTGCATTTGTTATAATATTACTACTTTTAAGAAGCATAAACATTAGTGATATCAACAATGAAAATATGCTTATTCTCAACTTCAAGACTACCTGAAATCAATAAATTTAAACTGTCATTTCCTTTTTTTTTTTAAAAGATTTATTTTATTTTTTTTATTGGAAAGGCGGATATACAGAGAGGAGAGACAGAGAGGAAGATCTTCCATCCGATGATTCACTCCCCAAGAGAGCGCAACGGCCGATGCTATGCCAGTCCGAAGCCAGGAACTTCTTCCGGGTCTCCCACACTGGTGCAGGGTCCCAAAGCCTTGGGCCGTCCTCGACTGCTTTCCCAGTCCACAAGCAGGGAGCTGGAGGGGAAGTGGAGCTGCCAGGATAGAACCGGCGCCCATTTGGGAACCCGGGTGTGCAAGGTGAGGACCTTAACCACTGCGCCATCGCGCTGGGCCCTGTCATCTCCTTTTAAACTGCAAATATTTAATGGCCACAAAAAATAGGCTGTACAAGCATAAGTCCCATGACATCTCTTTTATGGAATATATTTAGGGCAGGTTACAAATTCATTTCTATGTTCATTTCCTTGAATTTTATAAAAGTATATCAGCTAAAATCTCTAAGTATGGGCCTGGCACAATAGCTCAGTGGCTAAATCCTCACTTTGTAGGTGCCAGGATCCCAGATGGCTGCCAGTGTGTCCCAGCTGTTCAACTTCCCATCTAGCTCCCTGCCTGTGGTCTGGAAAGGCAGTCTAGCTCGCTGCCTGTAGTCTGGGAAAGCAGCAAAGGATGGCCCAAAGTCTTGGGACCGTGCTACCATGTTAGATACCCAGAGGAAACTCCCGGCTTCAGACTGGCTCAATTCTGGGCATGGCAGCCACTTGGGGAGTGAACCAGTGGATGGAAGACCTTTTCAGTCTTTCTTTCTCTCTGTAAATCTGCCTTCTATTAAAAACAAATCTTAAAAAAAAAAGCCACAAGCAGGACAGAATCAAAGAGTACAGAACTTATCAATACTCTAATTGATAATTATATATTATATATATCATAATAAAATATATATATTATATATTATTTAGCAGCAGCACAATGTTCTTCACAAAGTGCTGAAAATACATTCCTACCAAAAGCCCAAAATCCATTTCTTTACACTTAGCTTAAGCAAACTCAAACTGAAAAACATTGCAACAAAACTGGCTTCCTCAAAACTATCAGTCAGGAAGGACAAACAAAAATTGATGATGCATTGCAAATTAGAGAGCAAACAGGACTTACAACTAAATGTAATACAGGATCAAGGACTGAATCCCAGATCAGAGAGAAAGCTTACTATAAAGTACTGCATCACACAACTAGCAAAGCCTGGATATGAATTACAAAAGAGTATTTTATGAATGCTGAATTTCCTGAATCTGAGGGTTAGACTGATTTTACAGAACAGGGACTGCAAATATTTCTTAGAAGAACCACATAATAAATTTTTAAGCATTAAATGTCAGTGTCATTTTTATCTATTTTTTGCACTGATTTTGTTTTTTAACAATTGCTTAGGAATGTAAATTCCATCCTCAGTTCATGTTTTTGAGTTTCTGAGTTTTGCTTGTCAACTCCTGATGTAGATAATGTCCTTGTTATTAGGAAATAAACAATTAAGTATGTAAGCATAAAAGGTCATCACATTTGTAACTTACTCTCAAATAGTTCAGTAAAAGTAACATTTATGAGAAAAAACAATAAAGATGCAGCAAAATGTTCATAGTTTTTAAGTCAAGGAAAGATGAAGAGCTCACTATATTTTGCTTGCAACTTTCTTTAAAGGTAATGTTTAATTAAAAAGCAAAACAAAACAAAAAAACTCCCAAAACCCAGATGCTCCTAGAAAGGTGGAACCCAAAAGCCTCAATGTGTAGGCAGAGGACATGGGTCTAGTGGCTCAGATGGACAGTGGAAAGTGTGCCAAAGGAAAAGGGCTCCTGTCCATCAAGATCATCTCAACAACACATACCCATGGGTCCAAAGATATCTAGATTCTCCTGTCATCACCAGCAAACTCCGACGAGGCAACATAACTGCGACTGCCACACCATCTGGATGCTTAAAATCCATGACAATCTGGAAGAAAAGACACAAAGATCAATTTTCAAAAGTTCATATATTACAAGGATAAGCAGGATGCATTCAGAGGCAGTGTGGTAGCACGTCAGGTAAAGCCAGTCTGCATCACTGGCATCCTATATTGGCACTAGTTTCAGTCTCAGTTGCTGCTCTACTTCCCATCTAGCTCTTGCTACCCACATGAGAAACCCGGATGAAGCTCCTGGCTCCTGGATTTAGCCAGGCCCAGCTCGTCATTATGACCATTTGGGGTGTGAACCAGTAAATGGAAACATGTTCTCTCTCTCTCTCTCTCTCTCTCTCTCTCTCTCCCTCTTTCTCTCTCTCTCCCCCTCCCCCTCTCTTCCTCTCTATCCTACTTTGCTTCTCTCCTTTCCTCTCTCTTTGTAGCTCAGCCTTTCAAATAAAACAAAACTGTAAAAAAAAAAAAAATGCTTCATCCATTTTGCCCATTTATGCTAAACATGATTAAAATATGGTAATGTTTAAGGAAAATATAATACATTGATTCTCAAACTTGAGTGCACATGAAACTCAACTAAACAATAAAACACAGATTTCAACCATAGCATTTCAGAGTCAGCAGGCCCAGAGTACGGCTCAGGAATGTGCACTGGAATTTTGAAGCAAGTAGTCTAAGGATCACAAAATGGAAAACGCTGGGGTGGGTGGGGGTCAAATGCAGGGTCTTACGACTGAAATATTCATATCCTGGTTCTACCATGTGATACACAGCATGTCATTTACCATTTACCAACATTATGCCATGGTTTCCTCAACTATTATAGGGTTATTACATAAAATAAACAGAGTAGCCATAAATCATAGTACCTGGCAAACAAAAAATGCAAGGGGGTGATAAAGCAATAGAATTTTTGTATTACTCAAAAAACGCTGATAATGATAGGACAAATAATTATGAGGCATAGATTCTCACATAACACATACTACACATGTGAAGTCCTGCAACATTTTAGTGGCTAATTAGTAAGAGATTAAACAGGAACATTTTTCAAAATCTTTTCCTAAGTTACACTTAAAGCGTATAACTGAATAGTAAACTACAAAGATACAATATCTAAGCTTTTTTTGTTTTGGATCATATGAGGACATTTAACAGCAAACACTTCAATGTAAAAATAGTAACAACCAGAAACTATAAATTCTTAAGGCATATCACAGGCTTAAAGATATTTTTAAATGAAAAAAAATCCATTTATTAGAACTCCCAACTGGCAGTACGCAGCGACCCCTTTGGTCAAAGCCACGGAGACATGCGCAGACATCACCAACAGTGAATACAGCAGAAGGAGCTACACTAACCATCCATCCAGAACCAGAGCCAACACAAACTGTGCAGCCTTTACCCTAGAACTTTCCACCAGCTTAAATCTTTCACTGTAAAAGTTATAAAATTGATAGCAGCAACTGAACAAAAGGTGATTGAAAATAATCCTTTTATTTTAAAGGGCATTTAATGAGACAAAGAGAAAATAGACAATTCAGTGAAATTAAGAAGGTAATTCATAACATGAGTGAGTACTCAGTAAAAAATAGAGCTTATAAAAAGAACCAGTCAGAAATCTTGGAGCCAAACAACTTAGTAAATGAAATTTTAAATACATTTGAAAACCTCAACAGCATTATTGAGCAAGTAAAACAATTTCTGAACTTGAAGACAGGTGTCTTGAAATAACCCAACCAGATGGGGGGAGGGTGGGAACTGTTTTAATGAAAACTACTTGGAGATTTAAGGGACAGCAATAGCAACCAAGCACCCTTAGGATTTCAAACAAGAAAGAGAAAGGAAAGATAAAGAAAAACTATCCAATGGAATATCTGCTGAAATTTTTCCAAATCTTGCAAAAGATAAGGACACTTAGGTCCTGGAAGCCCAAGGCCAATTCCCTAATAAATATAACTAAAAAAAGATTCTCAGGCCCAGTGTGTAGGCCTAGCAGCTAAAGTCCTCGCCTTGAATGTGCTGGAATCCCATATGGGTACCAGTTCTAATCCTTGCAGCTCCACTTCCCATCCAGCTCCCTGTTTGTGGCCTGGGAAAGCAATCGAGCACAGCCCAAAGCCTTGGGACCCTGCACCCACATGGGAGACCTGGAGGAGGTTCCTGGCTCCTGGCTTCGGATCGCTGCAGCACTGGCCATTGTGCTCACTTGGGGAATCAATCACTGGACGGAAGATCTTCCTCTCTGTCTCTCCTCCTCTCTCCATATATCTGACTTAGCAATAAAAATAAATAAACCTTTAAAAGAAAAAGATTCTCTACAAGAAATATTAAGAACTGAAAAACTCTAAAAATTGCTAAAAACTACAAGAATTCTGGAGCCAATGTTGTGGCACATCAGGCAAAGTCACTGCCTGCTATGCAGATACACTAAGATACTCCAGGCTCTGCTTTCAACCTGGCCCAGAAGCCATTTAGGGAGTTAATGCTCTCTCTCTCTGTCTCTGTCTCTCTCTCTCTCTCTCTCGGTCTATAATTCTGCATTTCAAATAAATGAATACATCTTAACAAGAAGAATAACAACAAAATCACCACTTGTGATATCTATGTACCATATTAGAGTAGCTAGGTTTGAGTCCCTTCGGCTTCTGACCCCAGCTCCCTGCTACTGTGCACCCTGCAGACAGCAGGCAATGGCTTACATACTTGGATACCTGCCACCTACACCTGGATTCAACTTCCATCTGTCAGCTTCAGCCACATGTGTGACCCTGGTTTTTGTAGCCATTTAGAGAGTTAACCAGCAGATAAGGGAGGCTCTCTTTCCCTACACTTCTTTCTAGACTTTCCCTAGATTATTTTTTCAAAAGTTATTGCCAAGGCAGGGAGCGCTAGAACTCAAAACAAAAACAAGTTATGTAATGGGGGCCTAGGACAGTAAGTAGCCTAGTGGCTAAAGTCCTTGCCTTGCATGAGCTGGGATCCCCTATGGTGCCAGTTTATATCCCAGCTCCTATACTTTCCATCCAGCTCCCTGCCTGTGACCTGGGAAAGCAATCAAGTATGGCCCAAACCCTTGGGACCTGCATCTGCGTGGGAGACCTGGAAGAAGATCCTGGCTCCTAGCTTCACACTGGCTCAGCCCCAGCCAGCCATTGCAGCCACCTGGGGATTATATTAGCAGATGGAAGATCTTTCTCTCTGTCTCTCCTCTCTGTAAATCTGCCTTTTCAATAAAAATAAATAAATTTTCATTTAAAAAATGTTATGTAGTAAGCACTTTTTATGAAATATGGTATCTTGCTAGTTTCATCTGATTATATAATGGATACTATCCAACTTCAACAGCATTTTTAATGGTGCAAAATATCATCTTTTTGGACGTATTGTAATTTACCTTAGTGTTACACTGTCAGATATCCATAATATTTATAAATTTTATGATAAACAGTGCTTTAATTAACAAATCAAACTTTGCTATAATTTCTATCTTCAAATAAGGGCTAACAAGCCAAAGGATGTTTAATACAGTCTAGCATTCTCCCAACTGAACTATTTCAGTGACCAAGCTGCTCTGTAAAGGCTGTGCTAATCTATACTCCCACTCAGCAGTATAAAACCATTTTTGTTTATATTTTTGCCAACACAAAAATTTTTTATTACCCTAATTGCAGAGTAAATAAATGAGTGAAATACCATTGTGGTTTTTAACTTGCACACCTTTAAAATTTAAATTGCAAATTACTCCCAGTTGTTCCTTTATGATTTTTACTTATGGTTTTTCAATTTTATTTTTTAATACCTCATTTCCTTTACAATTATGACCATTATTTGCTTCATTTAAAAGGCAGAGAAACAGGGATCTTCTATGCTCTCATTTACTCACCAAATGCCTGCCACAGCCAGGTTTGGGCTAGGCCAGAGTCACAAACCCAAAGCTCAATCCATGACTCCCATAAGGATGCAGAGCACCCAACAATCTGAGCCACCACCTGCTGTCTCCCCGGGCGCACATCAGCAGGAAGCAGAATGAGAAGCAGAGGAGATGGGACTCAAACCTGGCACTCCACTACGGGAATCAGGCATCTGAAGCAGGGACTCCACTGCTACACCACACGCCTACCCTATGCCGTTCAGTATGTACAGACGTTTTCAGGATAAGTGTCACAGACATGCAGGCTATGCCCAGGGCTCTGTGCTCAAACACGTCCCCCTATAAAGGTTAATGCTCTGCTCTCACACGATCCTGAACTTCTGTCTGTGAAATGAAGTCTGAAGAAATAACAGGGATTACACACGAGCAGAAGAAATACACACAGTAAACCAGCAACAGTTGAGGCCCACTACATACTGCATCCACAATGTCTGATGAGCACAGAAAGCACAGGAGTTCGAAGTGAGACTCACATGAATACAAAGGAAGCATTTTACATCTACCCCTGACAGTGGAAACACTGACAGCCTGCAGAGGCCACCAGAACTTGCTTCAAAGGCAGAAAAAAAGGCAATGGAGTTCTAAGAAACATAAGCAACCCAGGCAGTACAGTATCACATCCATTGTTTCTTGTGTTACTTTCTGGTATTGACCAACAACCTGTAGCAAAAATGATGACACAGAAAAAAAAAATGCAAGACATGACAACCTGTCACTTAGCCAAACTGACTATGCTGATCTGACAGAGCTCAGCTCCTGGGTGTCAGAGTAGCTGAAAACAGCAAACCAAAAATGGAAGATGTGATCACTTACTGCGACAGGACAGGCACGAGTCCCGTGCCATTTTCCCCACCTGCTGAGCTAGTCAGGGATGTAGTGGACCATTAGACACAGGTATCATGTAACTACAAACAGGGCTCTGAACAAAGAGGCTGGTGCATTCTTACGGTCCCAGGGCAGGGGACAGTAAGGTGGCAGGACTACAAAGTGAAAGAGGAAGCAGTTTCTCATCGCAGTGGAAAGACCGTGTCTTCCACGTTTCCTACTACCCCTCGCCTTAACCCCCGTCCCACCCCACACATACACCAGTGAGGAGGCTCT